CCCTCCCTCCCTCCATCCCTTCCCTTCCCTCGCTCCATCTCTTGCTCGCCCCTTTTGTTCTCTCCTTCTCACTTCCTTTCCGACCCTAGTCCAGCTTTTTTGAAACCCGTTTATGTGGGCAGGTGAGCGCGCGCCACGGGAAGGGAACATCAAAACAAACTTCCGGGCCACATCTTGTTTTGACGTGTGTCCCCGGCTCTCCGTACCCAGCGCGCGGCGGCTGGTGGCGGTGGTGGTGGTGTTGGAGGCACTGGGCGCCCTTCCCCTTCCCGCTCCGCCCCCTCCCACCTCACCCCACCTCACCCCGCCTCCCACCTCACCTCGCCTCCCACTACCCCACCACGCCCCATCCGTCTGAATTGCTTGCCAGGGTAGAGAGAGGTATTGCGAGGTGCCCAACTGACATGGGTTTATAAGCGACCTTGAAGCTTTACGTGCTAGTCTTTTTCCCCGGTGCCTTATTATTATTTTTTTGTTTCTATTTCTTCTCTTTTCCGTCTACGAAGTAATAAAGGGAGGTGGTCGCGGTAGGGCCTCTTGTCTTGCACCCCGACGAGTATGTAAGGCTCGGGTTGGAGCTCGTAGAGGATTAAGACAGTTCGAGTGGAGATAATGATGTAAGTTTCTAAAAATTATAGATTTTTCAAAATTCGTACTAAAAAGAAAACTCTTTTAAATATTCAATGCAGGAAGTTATTTTTTTTTTTCAATTCTATGAATTTAGTTTTGTTATTTTTCACCGCTTGACTTTACATCTTGGTACGTTACTCTGGGAAAAGGGTGGTAACGGGGTGGTACCGAAAAGCGTCACCTGCCCTCCTGCATGCTATCCGCGTTTGCTATTCAGAACACCGACGATGACAGCTTCGAGCCCGCGTGCGAGCGTCATCGACGTGCGTCGGACCGGAGGGCGCGCTCAACCCGTCGTGCTCGAGGGCGTCGTCGTTGGTGGCGCAGTGGCAGCGCCGCGGGTCCGCCTGGCTGCAAGGCCTGCAGCAGCACCCCGCCCGGCACTAAAGGGCGTCGCAACATTGTCTCATGAGCGTGACGTGGGAGAGGAAGGGCAGGGAATAAAAGCGGCAATGTGGTGGTGGCCAGAGGACAGTCGGATGCGCCTTATTTCCCCCCTCCTTTTGTTTCCTTTCCGTCCGCGGCCGGGGGGCTAAGGAACAGGAAAACATGATGTATCTTTGTCTTTCGCCGCTGCCTTCCACGGGTGTCCGCCTTAAGCCATGTATGACATGACCTGTTCTGGTTAGTTTGTAAAAGATTATCTGGAAACCTATTCGGTTGCCTTTTTGTTTAACATTGTTTTGATGCTATTCTGCTCGCAGGTTGGCCAAGGAGGACGCGGAGGTCGGCGCTGGCGGCGCCCCCACAGCGGCGAGCAGGGGGGAGGCCGTCGCACCCGGTGCTGGCACCGGGAGCACGCCGACGACGAGGGCCAGCGCCGCCAACCGGCTGCAGAAGTCGGGCGCCAAGCGGCTGGGCTCGGTGTGGAGGACCATGGCGGGCGAGCAGATGGAGCAGGCGCGCCGCACGCTGGCCGACCAGGAGGCCGCCCGAGAGGAGGCCGCGCAAGGTAACCGGACCCGACCCGGACACGACCCCCCGCCTCCTTTGAATGCTCACGAAATTCGCCCCCCAAAGTTTCTAGACTGGTAAACAGGAATTTGTTTAAGTTGTTCCTCTGTCGTGCCGCCCAGCCCAGCCCGCGGCCCGCCAGGCCCCCTGCCCCTCGCCGCCACCTGCGGGCCGCGCAAAGATGGGGGGAAAGAGGGGGAAGGGGGTCCTCGGAGACAACCCTTTTCTTTCTGCCGCGCCCGAGACGAGGGCCGTTAAACAAATCCCTCTTCCGAGCCCGGGCCCGGGATCTAGTTGATTCGAGCACGCCCCCCACCCTCCCTCACTCTCAGAAAAAAGGATGTGGGAAATGTTTTGAATTTATATTGGGCATAACAGCGCAGAACCCAGCAGCATACACGGTGGAGTCCCTCTGAACCTCGCGTCCCCGCGCGCGCTCACGACTACATCAGAATCTAGCGTTTTGGTTTTAAAAGAGGGAGAAAAAAAATGAAAACCTCATACGCTGCCGTAATTTAGTCTCGTTCCATTATAAGCCGGGGGGACTGTGCGGTGTGCGCATTGGGGTTCAAATCCCGCTCGCTGCGTTGGTCTGTGAGGTTGGGGGGGGGGGAGGCATCCTCTACCCAAAGCCGCGCTCTCGAAGAACCAAAGGACGCGGGAGAAGCGAAGCGGTGGCGCGCAATACCGGCAATACCACACGCTCTCCATATGAAGTCCGTATATTCCAACGAGTTCTGCCGCGCGCGGGTTGCGTTCCCTCCCAGCCGTCCCCCCGGCGCGCGCAGCCGCGCACAAAGCCCGCTCCTCTTTTATAATACTGGGCGCAGGGCGCACCCACGTGGGGGTCTTAGGAGTGAAAAAGTGCAAAGAGGGGTGAGCAGGCTCCCCGGCATACACGTGGACCTAGGGGTACTTCACTTAAAATAGCGTACACAGATTTTTTTCTGTTTTTCTTTTTTTTTCTTTTTTTTTTTGTTGTTTTTTTTTGTTGATTTTTGTCTTGATTATTTCTGATGTAACTAATTTTTTTATTGTTTTTTCCTTTAAATTGTTTATTTCTTACACTTATTCTAGCCTATTTTGGAGGGTGTACACTGATTATTATTTTTTAAAGTGAAGTATACTCCTGGTGGTGGACCCGCGCGCCGAGGAACGGAGTCATCTCCTTATTACGTTTAGGCGGAACATTTGAGAGGGGGTGGAACGCGCCAAGAGCAAGGGCGTGCGTCGAGTACCTCGTGAGAGTGAAGCGGGGGCTGCGGACCTCCTCCTCGTCCTAATAATGCAGGGGCGATGCCGGGGCGGGGCCGGGGGGTGAGTTAATGTTACGGGCCGGACGGGAGGTGGCGGCGGCGAGAGGGCGTGGGAATCGATAGGGTGAGCGATTTTCACCTCTCCTGGTAACGACGTCCCACAGGGCCGCGCGTATAAATTATCCCGGTTGGCTAACTCCCTGCTCCCCACCTTCTTCTTCTTCTCCAGTTGTGTGCGTCGCGGACGTGCTGTCGTCGGTGCACGCGCTCTCGGTGCTCAACATCCTGCACAACGCCCTGACGCTCTACAAGCGCGTGGTGGGCAGCAAGCAGCAGTGCTCCCCCAGCCAGAGGTACGTGTGCATTTCTGTATTTATGAAAGCTTCTGCCACCAGGTGCACAGAAAAAGATAATTAACTAAAACAAAATTTCTACCTACAAATTACAAAAATTAGCGACATGTAGCCAAATACATAACTTAATTGATAGACAAATGGCTAAAATTTTAGCTTGATGACAAATAATCAGTTCTTCCGTATTTAGCTATTGATTTAGTTATCTAGCTAATCTTTTGTTGTTTTGCCTGTCAGGTGGCGCCACTGCAGCTACCACTGTCTGCAGCTGCTGGCGGCGCGGGCGCTGCTCTTCATGGTGGAGGGCCAGGCCGTGCAGCAGCAGCTGGCGCAGGAGCCGCAGCTGCGCATCCTGGCCGCCGCCCTCGACTCGACCCACGACCCGGTGAGTGCTCGGCTGGCACGGCTACAACTCACTCACTCACTTGGTCCTCTCGGCGGCGTTGCTCACGATGCTCTCTGTCTCTGTCTCTCTTCCGCAGCAACTGCTGGTGCTGGTGCTGCAGATCGTGGCCACGCTGGCGCTGGACCCGTCGCACCACCGCGCCCTCGTGGAGCAGGGGCTGCCGGACGTGCTCTCGCAGCTGCTGCTGCCCTCGGACGAGTGGTACTACACGAACCACTCCACCAAGTACGCGCGCTTCGTCAAGCACCACGCCGCGCGCGCACTCGTCTACCTGGGCCTGCAACACCGCGTCAACCTGCGCTTCTCCGTGTACGACATCCTCACGGGTGAGTTTCTCCCCCCCCCCCTCCCCTTTCCTCTCGGACCAGGCCGGAGCCCAGCATCCCCCCGGGGGCGGCGCCCCCTGCCCCCTGCCTTGCTCTGATTCGCTTGGTTAGGAACAAAGTTAGGGCTGATTAGCCACGGTTAATCTCGAGGATCACGACGGGCCCGGCGGGCCCGGAGATGACCGTGAGAGGCTCGAGGACACGCGGCGAGGCCCACGAGCAGCGCGCGCTCTGATTGCCTCGAAAAAGAAAAACAATCAAAAGGAGCGGGACTGGCGCTGGGCCGGGCTGGGCCGGGCTGGGCCGGGCCGGCCGCTTCCTGGCCGTGCTCCTCCAATTTATTTCCCCTTCGTCTGCTTGTTCCACGCTAATTGCTACGTCGGTGGCGAAGGCGATCCCGCCGCGCCCCGGACCCGCGCGCCCCGCCACCGCCAGGTTATTGATAAAGGGAGTCGATCCCGTCCCGGGGGGGAGGGAGGGGCGCCCCCCCCCCCCTCCGAGCCATCACTCTGCGCCCGGCGCCTTTCTAATTCAGCAACAGAAACAGGGCCTCCGTGAGAAAGGAGAAGCTCGGCTCATTCAGCCCGGGCGCGAGGGGGAGCGGGGGGTAGGGGGTGCACAAAGACCCCCCACCCCCCACCCC